ATACATTAACCAAGTCAGATAAAATCTTGGCCTTTTGAGATTGCAGAGTAATGAGCATATACACAGTGAATGCTCAGGATTTCTGTATTGTGCTGGTTTTGTTTTATAGGATCAAAAGTTTTCTAATTTCAAAAGCAACTTAAAATCTTTTTTTTGGACTGAGGATGTCTCATTTTGGTTTGAAATGTGTTTTTAAGCATAAATAGGCTTTTGTGAGATGTGGGGATTCTGTCATGATGTTCCTGGATTTTTACATGCTGTGTTCTAATAAAAACAGCAGGCACATTGTGTTTCTTTATCTGCTGGAAAAGTCAGAAGATTTTTCTTGCTTAGCTGGGAATTTAGGAAGAATCCCTTTGGGAGTTACAACATGCCTGTGTGGTCAAGAGTAAATCAGGTGTGTAACAGCTCTGTCTAATACTCCAAACTGCTAGGGCAGAAGCTGCTCTGTGGAGAGCTGGGTTTTGCTGTCATGAGGCTTAGTGATGTACTTCTGGAAGTGTTTCTTCAATATGTTACTTGTTTCAAGTTTATGGACTACGGAAACTAAAAATGAGTGCCAGCAGCACTGTATTCATTTTTTGCACATCCCTTGTTATCCATAGGCTCATGCTTCCAAGGGCAAAGCAACACCAGCGCTTGTGGGTACAACTTGCATATTGGGGTTTCTAGTTGTGCTGGGTACAGGGAAAAATTACTCAGTTGCTGATACAGCAACTTGCAGTGAGACGAACTCTGGAAGTAACTTTAGCTGCCCAAAAGCAGTTATTTTGCAAATTTATGTGACCTACATGTATACATATTTATATTTACAGACACAAGCTGAATCTGTAAAATGTGTGTGGAATTCGCTTACACGCTTGACATGCCTGATACACACACATCTGATGGCTGGCTTGCTGACAGTATGGGAGAGTGCTGGCTCATGACATGTACAGCTCTTGTCTGTGAGAACCTAGCCTGTGGCCTTTGTGTGTTTCCTGTACTCAGTGGGTTCTGCTGGGTACATATGGATGAGAGAGGACTATCCTTGGTTATTTTTATTACTGTATGATGAACCAAAATTTACCTTGTTATTTTAGAATAATACTTCATCAGGTACATCTATTGCCTCCCTGATAAAATACACACAAAAATACCTTTCAGCTAAATCAGCTGTCTAGGGAACAGATCACAAATGGAAGGATTTTTATTGTACTACTATTTTTTTTTCCTCCATTTACTATCAAAACTGACCTTTCACATGCTAGGTACTAGCAGCACTTTGAGCAAGACATGCAGATTTTCATTGCTTTGGGGCTTCTGAAAGCCAGGGCCCAATTAGAAGTTTTCTCTAAGAATAAGTGAGTGGGACAACGGATGCAAAACAACCTGAGGCTTCTGGCTAAGTATGCAGACATCTCAGATAATTTGTTCTTTTTTTTTTTCCAAATCCTCAGTCATTCCCTTGTCTCAAGAGAAGTTTTATTTCTGAAGGAGTTCTTTAAAATTACTCCCTTCAATCACAGACTTGAAGAGAGGTTTGATGAAGCTTTTGACAGATATTCCTGTAAGGAAACGAAAATAATAGAGATTTGTTCCTTAATAGTGTAAATGACAGCACATTCAACAGCTGTTTATCATCCTCCTCTGTCATTGATACTGCACTGATTAGGCACTGCACCAAAGTGTGGTAAAGCTTAAGTTTCCATCTGAACTCCTTTATGTTCTGTTAAGGGAGGGTGTCAGCACTGTAGGGCTGGTGCTTTGTGCCTGACATAATTGGTACTGAAGTTTTTAGTATTCTGTTTCCAACTTAAGGATGCCTTTTTGTTACCAGGATCTTTGCATTTCCTCTCTTCTCCAGTCCCCTCAGGTTCCTCCCTTCCTCAGAATTATATACCAAGAACAAGAAGTAAAATGGGAATTTGGGTATTCAACAGGCAGTGGAAACAGTAGCACACTTTTTATGTTCATCAAAAAAGGATCTGTGCAAAGCCAAGTCACTGACCTTTTCTCCCCGTCCATCATGGGACTTTTCAGGAAGGGCTGGGCTCTGCTCCGTGGTGAGCTTGCCTGGTGTGAGGAAGTTCACAGACATATCGTGTGAGCACATACGGGGCTCAGCTGAGCCCCGAGAATGCCAGTATTAGGATCTTTCTGATAAATCCACCCTTCACCGCTGTGTCTAGGTGTCACTGCAGACTATGTGGGCTTTTTTAGGATTCCCTCCTTCTTGCTGAAGCCTGCACAGAGTAGCCCACAGTTGTATCCCACAGAGGATGCTTCTTGCTCCAACTATAACCATGGTCTACATGGAGAAGTTAGGTTCAGTCTAGGACTGTGTTCATTGTGGAGGTCAGAGGGTAAGGCTGTGCTTAAACCAAGCTCTTTCTCTACCTCTTCCCTAAACCTTCCAGGGCAAGCATAACCAAAGTCCCCTGCTGCTACAACTGTTAGAGTCAACTTAGAGATGCCAAGGCAAGTCAAGGGGAGGGGGAGACTGAGGAGGAAAAAGGGGCAAGAAGGTTGTGTAGGTGCCCTGCTGTTTGTGTAGGTGCCCTGCTGTGTTAGCCACTGTTGCCCACATAGGATCCATTAGGTTTCCAAACAGCTACTCAGAAGCATTTTGTTTGAGATGGCAGCGTGGCTTTCTGAGCCTTATGTGGCTCAGAAGAGGCAGATATTCTGCAATGTATTGGTCTTTGAGGCTTAATGCATGTATTATATTGTTTGTCAGTTTGTGGTATCCTTTCAGACTTTGTGATTATGGGTTCCTCCAGTGAGGCCTATTTTATTTAGCATTCAGCATATTAATTGCACATAAACCTTCGTATCTGCAGCTCCTACAGCAGGCATCTCTCTGAAGAAGCCTGAAGATGCCATAATATTTGAAAGAGAAAAATGTGCATTTTTTGCTAGCACCTGTAATTTAAGTAGCAAAATAATTGGGTAGGAAGCATCTCTTATCTCTTGATGAAAGATAGTTACAGCTTTTCACACCTGGCTAAAACTATGAATTATCCTACAATATTTGGATGGATCTAATTTAGGCAGCTGTCAGACAGAAATATTTTAGATTCTGTATATTAGTAACAATTGCAGAGGGGCTGTGGCTGTTCCCAAAGACCTTTTTTTGTTGCATGAAATGAGGAGGACTCACTTAGCACAGTAACTACTGTGGAGATGTTTGAACAAATAAATTGCTTGCATGAAGTAATTATTCCTAATAGAGAGAAGGAGAAGTTTGGGTGGATTTTAATCATTTTACAGCATCCTTGTGAGAGGCATATCAGAAACTCTAGGAGGTCTGTTACTTTAAATGTTGGTATACTGCTCAGCTTACTGTAAGAATTATTGCTTTCCGTTTCAGGAGCATTGGGGATATGGGTGTGCAAGTTTTATTTTATCTTATTTTCCATGTGAAGGACACATTCAAAAAACTAGGAAGAACCTTTAGTAATCATATTACATCACTGTTAACCAACAAAGGCTATAAGAACCTTCTGTAAGACAAAGCACAATTAGAACTTAAGTATCATTGGGAATTGGGCTATAATTCTGACTAGTATTTATGCTGTCTTTTGATATGGTACAAATCCTTCCTACTTATAAAGACTTTACTAGCCTGATTCTCAGCCTGGGGCTTTAACATTCTGCTTAGTGTTCATTTTACTTAGTTTGACGCTCACCCATTGTATTTTGGATGAGTTTGTTATTATGCTTTGCCTGAGTTGAACTGCTCCACCTGATGGTGAAAACAAGAAAATGCCATCTCTCATGCGATGGATATTTATTTGAAAAAATGTAATTTAGTGGAAGCACTTAATGCTGTAAGGGTATGCATGCCTTAATCTAGGAGACCTACTAATAATGTTCTGCCCCCTTTATACTTGGATGTAGAGCAGTTAAGGTTATGTAAAGGAGTTGCACAAAGATCTTAAATCCACAGTTTTCTTTCATGTTTTTAGAGAGATACCCAGTGGGTAGGTACTTGTACTATAGACATGTGCTTCTCAAAGTCCAGATGCTGCCAGAACCTGAGATGCAGCTGTGCATTGCAAGACATGCATATCTGAAAGGAGTTGTTCCTGCTCATGCACAAAAAGGGAAGTTTGGCTGCTTGGTAGCTGTTGATTTGGTCATGTTCTTATTACCAATGTGGAAATACTTAATGGTTGAGTATGTTGGGTAGAATTGCTTGCCCATATGGTATTTTCTATCTTGAGTCCATTTAGTTGCACAGAAAAGGAGGTAAAAACTAAAGAACTCTGAAAGAAACAACCTGCTTGCAAGAAAAGATTTAAAAGGCTCTCTTGTGGCATTGAAAGGGAAATAATCACGTAAATCTTGTGCAAGCAGCAAAAAAACAGGAAGCATAACAGAGCTGCATGTCCCCAAGTCTTTCAGTTTGCCCAGCTTTTTGCAATGCAAGAGTCTGTAGATGCATGCTACAATAAATTTGCTCTGGCACCTTTCATGTTGCCCTAAGATATCAGAGTATTTTCCGTGTGATAGCAAGATCTATCATCTCTGGACAGTCGTGTCTTCAGCCAGGAAAGCAAAAGGTATGATTTGCTATCTTGAGCTGATGTGTCTGGGATGAAGGATGGATCCTGTATGGAAGGATGCTTATATGTAACAGCAGATGCAAGGGACGTTCTTTAAAATATTTGAGCATCCTAGGGTCAAGATTTTCTGTGCTATTGAGAAGGTAATGTGAGATCTGACCGCCTGAGCACAAGCTGATTATGTTCAGCCTGCACTCCTGCAAAAGCTATTTGTATAAGGTCATGGTGCACCAACCAAAAATCTCTGTGAACAGGCAGGTTGCTCTAATTCATGCTGTGAAACTTTGAGGAGTCTCCTTGTTGTATACAGTTTTCATAGCCTCTATCAAAAATTGCAAATTTTAAGCTGTTTCTGTAGTTTTGTCCTTCACTTGTGTTAACCATATACATTTACGTTGCCCAAAATGTTGTGTACAGACTTTTTTTTTTTTCTTCTCCTTTTTCTCTCAGACACCCTGGCTCTGGAATACCAGACAGTGCTGGAATGGGTATCCATATCAGGTAAAAGTTACAGTGCTGCCTAAAAACAAACATGACGCCTCTGCAGATTTCTGTTTTTGTTATGGTGGAGCTTAGTGTCAATATCTTAGTGTGAACGGGCTACTTGGCATTTCAGAATATTCCTAGATGCTCCCCATCTTGCATGAGTTCAAGATGGGAAAGATACATATAGCCATCACACCTGTGTTGAGATGAAGCACAGGATCTGAAAACAGATCTGGGAAATCTAACTGTGAAAGCAGACGTGCAACAGCGGTAGGATGGTCATTTTTTACAAATTTCTGAGAATACTGAAAGTTTTAGCAAAGCATCGGATTCAGCAGATTGGGAAAAACCAGTATAGTTCTTATAGTTGTTATACTGCATACAGGGTGAGACTTAATCCCTGTCAATTGGTGTGATCAAAGAGGAGACTAAAGAGAAAAGGTAGGTTTCTCCTTTAGGTACTTAAATAGAGGCTATCCAGTCCTGGCCTCATGGAAGCTTACAAAGAAAGAAGGTAAAATTAATGAGATAATTGAGAATGGTTTCAAGTCTTTATTTTCAGCAATGTCTGTATTTTCATGGATTCAAAAAGCATCAGCCTTTCTCTCTGTTCTAGGTCAAAGTTTATAACTTCAAAGAAAAGGCTTAAGTCATTTATCTCCTTTACTAAGAAGAAGAATGCCACCGTTAAAGTAAAAATGCGCTTTCAGGTTGTGTCCTGCTGCATTCATTCCCTCTTTCAGTCCTCAAAAAAAATTTTGCTCAAGTTTGAAATTTGATTTCCTTAAAACAATCTTCAGAAGAACAATAGCAGTATATTTATTCCTTACTGCACTGCTAAGGTTTTAACTAGTTCCAGGAATATTTAATTCCTAGGTCCAAGTTCTGGACATCTTTCAGAGTAGCACAGTTGCGTCAATGGTGTGCAGGTGTGCAGTAACACCAGGATTAAGTATAGCCCTACAACTCCAGAAACTATTCTCTGCCAGGGGAAGAAGGAGCAGAACAAGTGAAAGGAGAAGGGTAGAAATTTTATCTATCATTATTATCTGATTGAACAGTGGCTTCCAAAGTTTGCATACCCAAAGAGCTTTGAGAAACCTCTCCTGTGCTTTCCATTAGTTTGTGCTACTGGACATAGTTGTTAAAGTATGGGATGTATTTAAACAGAGCAGTCAACCTACTCTAAAGGATTCAATGTATTTTTCAGAAAAGATAACTCCTGAACTCTGCCTTGGCTGTACCACTGCCTCATTTTGCCCTCTGGTCTGATAGAAGTAACTTTCAACATGGATGTTGTGAGGATCAGTGAATTAATTAAATGCACCCTTTTATTATTATTAATAATAACAGTAAGGTAGCCCTTTCGAGGAAAGAGTATCATCATATAGATGCACTAGGAATGGACTTTGGAAACCCTTTTGGGAAAGCTAAGAGCCATCTGTTTCCTTAATACCCTTTGTATAATAGGAGGGAACAAGAGATTACAGTTGTGAAGTATAATTTTTCCTTTTGTTATAAATCAGAGGTAACAAATGTTTCAAATGTGACCTAGTAAGACCGTCTTCCAAATTTTTAATAACTTTTGAGGATAACTTTTGGTAGCTTTTTTAATTAGTCTGAATTCTAATTCTAAACCTGAGCTTCTTTAAAATGCCTTTTTTTAAAAAAAAAAAAAAAAAATTCAGCATCCAGGAGTCTCAGTAGGAATCATTGAGATGTTGTGTTAGCTGCTATCCAAATATAATTGACACTGAATTCCAAAAGCTCCAGCAAAGAGTTTGCAATTTAAAGAGTCTAACCTGTCTAGAGTATATTGCTTTTTTTTTGCCTTTTTTTTTTTTTGCCTTTTTTTTTTTTTGCCTTTTTTTTTTTTTTTTTCCTTTTTTTTTTTTTTTTCTTTTTTTTTTTTGCCTTTTTTTTTTTTTTTGCCTTTTTTTTTTCCTGAAGGACAGGGAGCAGAAAAAAACCCTCATTGCCAGACTGTAAAGTATGAAGAAGAGTATTGTCTGAAAGACGCATGAATTGCCTGTGACAATGAACAGCCCTGGACAGCCTGAACAGGAGAACTGTGTTTAGGTTTGGGTGCTACTGTTCTTGAAGGTTGTGTGCCTGTTGGAGATAGTTCAGTGGAGGTAATTCAGCCAGAATGATCAGAAATCTTGATCTGAGAAAGGTTGAAGGAATTTGGTCATTTGGGCTCAGAAGAAGTAATGACTTAAATTCCACCTAAGGACTGGAGGGTGAACTGAATGTTAGGGAAGTAGCAGAAGAAATTGAATGGGGGAAGTGTTGAATCTTCCTCCCTCAGGGATTTTAGGAACAATCATTTGTCAGAATTGATATGGCTGCAGTCACTGGTGCCTTTCAGTCCTGTTTTCTACTATTTTTGTGTTATTACATGCAAGAAGAGATTTACTTATGACGTAAGACCACGAATCCTACTGGTTAAAGAACATATATTTACCAGACATCAGAAGAACAAGGTCATCCAGAAAGTTAGTTACAACTTTTAGAGGGAGGCAACTGAACTTACTATATCTAAAAATCATGCTACTAGTGGAGAGGGTCCAACAGAAAGCAAATCATCAAGTAAAAGTCATTATCTAAATCATTGTCTCGGAGATAAATGTCTACTGGGTGCTAATCAGGATTAAGTACTGGGTTTTCAATTTGGTTTGGGTTTTTTTTCTTAACTAGATAAAATTTCTAATCTCTTATTTGCTACAAATTCTTTGTAAGTTACTCAACACAGCATTGCAGAAATCCAGCTGTAGATACAGTCAAATGGATCATTTGGGTGACAACTCTACCCATAAGCACAGAATAGTCCTACTGAAGTCTATAGAGAACTGAAACGTAACATTTAGACTAGGTTAAACACACACTATTGATCCTTTCATGGAGGGAAACTATGATATCTTTAGAATCCCCCTTCTTTATCATCATATATAGGTTTAGAAATACTAATGCAATTGTTAATAAAGCAGCTGACAATCTTAATTGTTTTACTAGAAATTTTCCCAGTGAGTTCTTTTGCAATAATGAGTATAATAGTTGCAGTTCATTGCTAGCTCATGTTCTCTTCCATTTTTTTAATTACACCTAATTAAAAGCTTACTGGCAGTCTCACTAAATCAGAAAAGGACTATATTGGCCCAAGAAATGGCTTTAAAAGATTGATTTTGAGTGTACACATTTTTCATAAAGCATAAGCATATGTCTATATTTAAATAACCTACAAAGAGCATTCAGTGGGCACTTACTGACTGTTTTTCAGCTGCAAAGAACTGGTCTGCAAAAGGGAATGGGAATAAAAGATTAAACTGAAAAGCCTCTTGCCAATGGCAATAGCTCATACCCTGCTTGGGTGCATGGTTGTGCCAGCGCAAACTGCTCTAGAGATGGTTCATCTAATCCCTCAGGAGATGTCCTCAGGAGCTTCTCCTGTGCCAGTGCCCCTCTCTATCACTGCGATGGAAGACATGACTAGCAGGGAGGCACAATCGCGTGGAAATTAGAGTAGCTACTAGGATTGGCTCTCTTAGGCTGGGAGCTAAACAGCCTGTGTGTGCCACCAGTTACCTTCTTTCAAGTTGCCGCAGGTTGGTTTTGGTTGTGCATAAGTTCCTGTGTTTTGTTATTTTTATTTCTTTTACTTTTAAACATCTGTGTAATGATGTTGTATATCAAGCAGGATGCCTGGATAAATTTATTTTATTTTCTTCTTTCCAAATGTTAACATGTTCCCAGAAAACGGTTAAGCTCTTTAAAAGTAGGCTTTATGTTAGAAAGAATCCTGTTTAAAGCTCACAACATTTTCATCATGAGATGAGATTGTATAGTGGCATTATTTTTCTCTAATCTGCTCTAGCATTGTTTCTTTTGCTTTGCTTTAAACCCACATTACTGATGTACAGCAAGATGTTTCAAGTGATCTTTCAAAACAGACTTAGGAGTACTCAGAATTTAGTTTGTTCTAGGTTCCGAACAGACAACATCATAATTTTTTGGTATTACAATATTACAATACTGTCAAGATTAAAACTTAAGAGGAGGGTAGGTTGGGGAGCTTTATTTTTCCAGAGCCATCAAAGTTTGAAAGAGGCAACCATCATAATTTTTCTTACATAGGATGCTTATGTATAATTCAGTAATCCCCCTGTAATTAAACATGTCTCCTATAGACAGCTGCCTGTAATGTCAGTTAGACTCTATTAACCTTTTCTCATCTCCATCTTTCAGCCACTGATGCCTGACCTTCATTATTACTACATAGTTGAATTGTCATTCTACTGGTCCTTAATGTTTTCTCAATTCATTGACATCAAACGAAAGGTAAGAACAATGAGACTAAAAACAATGAAAGCTTTAAGCACATATTTTTCTTGACTTGAGGAATACCTGTATTACCTGTGCAGTGAACTGGAAATACAGTTCTTTCTAGTCACCACCTCTTGCAGATATTCGTCACTGAGAAACTGGTGTTGAAGTGCTTGTCTTACTCTATTCCTTGTTACTATGATGTAGGATTTTTCTGCACATGGGGAAGAAGAGCCTGAAGTAATCAAATATTCAAGGGGAAATAGCATCAGCCAAAAAAACCTTCTGATCTCATACAGTGACTTGAATGGAACTGAACATATAGTAACTAGTAGATGTACTGTTTCTTCTAAGAGTTAAATGATGAAATATCAATGACAGAGCAAGACTGCCTCATAAATTCACAGCATTACTTTGGTAAGATTTATGAGGGCTTTCAATTTATTCTACGAAGGGATGGTAAAAACAGGGACACATTTAATATTAAAAAGTGATGTTACATTTAATCTTACCTTTACAGTTATGAAATGTCAAGTAGTTGAGCATTGATATTAAAGGGCTATTAATCAAGAAAATAAAACTCTGGCCAGATAAAAACATTTTTCCAGTATCAGTAGCAACCTGTTCCATATTCCTTCATCCAAGTTCTCTCCTCCGAGGACAACAGGCAGCACAACAGTCATTCTATAATAACAGTCCATTGAACTATTCTTGCAGGGTTTTTTAATGTTGCAAAATTATTTGTTTAAAAAGTTTGGAACGATTTTAAAATATTTTTATGTGCCTCCTTCTGCTGTCATTTAATTAAGTGATTGTGGCTGTGCTAATGGAAGAATCCCTGTTTACTAGAATTTTAGCAGGAGCATAACTCTGAAAAGAGTAAATGAAGGATCCAGTATGTCCTGAATAAATTTATCTGCTGTTTGGAACCACAGTGTGCTCCTGGGAGTCTTGTGTCAGAGCTATGTATATAGAAAAACACCCCTCTATTTGAATTTCCAAGTTTTTCCAGAAGTAGAAATCTCAAGAATACATCCACAAATTTTAAATCTATATTGGAGGGTAAATTGTAAACAAAACAACCAATTTAGGATGAATATATGTACATCCCTTGCTTGCATTGTCTGTAGATGCTAAACATTCTGTTAATCATGAGCTTGAAATGAGTACAACTTCACTGTTTCAGAAAACAGAGATGCAGAAAAACAGCGCTCAACAGAGCTGTATGATAGTGGAGATGAATTGAAATAAAGAGTAACATTGACTAATACACATAAGCTGCAGGTCCCAGCAATACTGAATAGCCATTTGTCAATATATCAAGCAAAGCCAAACCTCTGCAGCAGTGTTACAGAATTGTTCAGGTTATTGCTGCAGAAATATGTTGTCCCCCTACATTCCTATTCAGCCCTCTGCACTGTGCCATTGGTTATATTTTATTTTCTTTGTGTACTTCTTGAGGGAGAGGAAAATGTAACAGCATTGCAATTGCAACAGTACTGCAATTTTGCAGTACAATACATCTTTAAAGAATATTTAATTGATTCCTGACTAGTTGCTTTGCTCATGTGAAAAGTAATTGGAGGCTACCTGAGCAGCATCTAGGTTCAGCACTTCTGAAAAGGGCCATTGGGAGGGTCAGTAAACACCTTTCTCATTTAATACATCTCATGAGTAAATGCTATAGCTTTTTCCCTCATGACTTGGAGAGTTTGTTCCCATTGGTGAGCTGAGCACAGAGCTAAAGCCATAGTACAGGTGCAAGTAAACAATCTTTTGCAAGTCTGTTGCTCAGTTACATATAAATGACTTGTACTTGTTATCAGGAAGACTTTGCAGCAGCTTACTGTGGAAATGGAATGGGAGATGGAGGTGGGGAAGTGGATCCCTAACAGCTAAGTAACACCCCTGCCACAGATTTGAAGTGCTTGAACCCAGAGCACCAGGTTAAAGCAGTGTCCCATGCATCTGCTGTGCCTGAGAACATCCAGTGTCCAGCAGAGAGCAGGAGCACAGTATCTGCAGTGCGATGATAGCAATCAAAAGCCTTTCTTTATAAGCACCCTGCAGGAGACAGTAGAGATGCCATATTTGTAAATAACCTATTAGATCACTGACCAATTTGGAGTGTGGAGACAGTTCTTTTTGTAGTGTAAGCAAAAATGATAACTAGGAAGATCAGACTGGAGAAATGCAGCTGTGTGCTGATGTCACACAGTAAAAACTGTTCTGTGGCCAGGGGCAAGTGCAAGCTGTCAAGGAAACCCATGAGTTGAAAAATGTTAGCACTGAGAGCTTACAGTAGTTGACAAAAAGTAATACAAGCTTGTCAGAGACACTAGCTCTTGCAGCCCCATAATAGTTCTCTTTTAAAGAGCGGGTTTAGTTTAAAAAATGTGGAAACCTCTTAAAGTACCCAATATGCAATGTGTGAAATGGTACCCATGTGAAATAAGGCTCTGTTTAACTGGAAGAAGCAGGAAGTTTGCCAGCTAATATTAGGTGCTATTGTAATACTTCATGACAGCTTATACAGAGCAGATTAACAGTTCTCAGCCTGAGAAACCTGTTGATGTTTGCATGTTACAGTGAGAGGAATACTTCTATCTAAGTCTTGGCTATCATTTTAGATACTTTAAATTCAGCAGTGGCTGTGTTGTAGTCTGGGATGATCAAAAGTGCCCTGGCAGCCTCATGCACTGCAGGAATTCAGCCAACCCCTTTTATGTAGCTGGGTTTCTCTCAAGGTGAGATACGGTAGGTCTTCTCTGAAAGCACCAGCACTTGGCACTGGCTTAACTCCAGCACTGGTGTTTTACTCGCTGTACCTGAAGAGGAATGTACTTGCTGTTTCCATCTCCGTTTTATTCTTCTCTAATAGCAAATTCATGACTTTAAAATTACTTCCAATTGGTTTGCTGACTTTCAAATACCTGTTTGTCTTTATTTAGGTGTTATAAATTCCACCAGCTTATCTTTGCCTGGCTGAAGAGGTGTGAGCAAACTATTTAGGCTGTTGCACATATCTACTATTGGCATTAAGGCAGCGAACTAAGTAGATTAACTTTTATAGTTTTATAATGGCATATTGTTTGCTTCATAAATATCTACTATGTTGCTGTAATGATGTTCTACCCTTAAGGGTTTTTATTTTCAAAGACTGCAACCTAGTATGATTTGGTTTTTTATCATCTCTATCCAGCTTCCCATACTCCTCTTTTGTAAAACATAGAAAAAAAAATTAGATCAGGGAACTTTGTTACTCTCACAAGCCCCTGATGAGTTTTAAAAGCAGTGAAGCTTATTTACATGCTTTCTGGATACCTGAAGTATTGTTTGATAGAAAAATATTTGACCGGTGTATTTAAGGGAATGTGTAAAATTCCTACTCGGTCAGTGTTTTAACAGGTTTGTAGAAGACCTAGGAGACCTTTCTGTGTATTCAGACCTTTTAGTTCCAAGTATTTGGCAATTCCTAGAGCTTCTGTGTTTTACCTTTTTTAAAAAATGACAGTTCACTCATTCCCAAAATGAAATAATCTGTAGCTGCTAATTTTCTTGAATGTTCCCTTTTGATTCTAGAAAATTTATGCTGTATTTCACTGAATCTAGATCCTGGATCTCTTTCTTCAAACTCAGTAAAAAAAGAGTCGTAGAGCTGATTTCTTTTGTTTCAGAGGAAAGGAATTTAGATTGTGTACATTTTGCAGACCTTTGCTAGAATTGTAATGGTTGAAACCTTTAACTGGTGATACTCCCCGTCCTTGTTGAAGCCCATTTCGAGAAGCTGCAGTGACTAATGAAGGCGATGTTTTGCCCTTCAGTGGCACTAATGCTCCATAGCCACTTGGCAGTTTAGTCAGTAAGCTTGTCATGTTAAACAAACGTGGGTAGCAGAAGCCTTGATTCCAGAGGGCTTGTCTACAAGTTGAGACCCATGGGGTTTCTCCATTGTCTGCCCTGTGTTCTTCCCGTTGATGGTGTCAGGAGTAGGTTCTTGCTCCTATTCTTAGCCATGTATTTTCTTGACACAGGCACATGATATCTTTCAGCAATTACAACTGGAGGCTACAAATCTGCTGTAAATAAACGTGTCTTGCACAAACATACACAGAGTTTGAAATACATTTAAAAAAAGAAAAAGCCCATTCCTGTACAGCTGCTCTTCTGTTAAGTACCACTTGACATTATGAGGACTTGTACCATTAGTTTTTATGTATTCATTACCCTTATGTATAATTAAAATCTAACAGGTAGCATCTTCAAAGCATAGAATTAATTACTGATGTAAAGAAATGTCATAAACAGGAAAGAAAGGACCAGAATAACAAAAGTAGTCATATTTATATCACTGCTACTTTTTCCTAACAATTTTCAGTAGGTCAGTCCAGCATCTCCGTTTCAGAGCTGGCAGAGTCGGGTAACTATCTCTTTTAAGAACATTGTCAGAGAAGGAGTTCCCTGGACAGCATTTCTGTAAGTCTCATGCAGATGTGCAGAAGACTGCTGCCCGAGAGCATTAGGGCTGCTTAGGAATAACACATATTGTCAGGACTGCCTTGAAGAGTTCCCAAGAGGGACTAGAAATGTCGTATTTGTAGAGCATGAATGTGTCAGCTATAAAAACAGACAAGAATTTTCTACTTGGCTTCTTCCCCCGTTTGGACTACCTATGTGCTAACATAATTGCAGTTAGAAGGAAAATGAAGAACAGTGCGTTAGCATTTGCAGCTGAAGCAATTGAAGAGCTAGGCTGCAGTGTGGCCATATAGTAATGCTAGTAGCTTACTTCTAATCCCAGGGAATAAGGTAGGTGCTTTGCTGGTTTGATTATGGTATGGTGAAATGGTCCCCATGTGTGGGTTTGTAGTTACTGAAATGACTGAGATGCTGTACCCCTGCTTTCCCTTAAGACTCTTAGAAAGGGAAACAGCCTTTAATTCTCTTTTTGTTCAGTCTGCTTTAAGAAAATGGATTTAAAGCAATGGCTTGAGATGACTGCTGAATGTATTTGGTTGTGCTCCACACTGCTGAGGACCAAATAACCTGGCTGAGAAATGTTGGGTGTATACCAAACTAGGATACGGTTCTCTGCTTTTAGTCTTTTTTTTTTTCTTTTCTCCCTCCTCCCTCCACCCCCCCAGCTTTGTGTTGGCAATACTGGCAATGCCCATTGATGAGTATGCATAGGAAATAGGACCTTGTAGCACCTGATAGCATTAAACATAAAATGATAGGCTGGGAGGAGGTCCTGTCCCTATTCAGTTAGTGAGACTGCTCAAGCTGCAGTTTTTTCCATGGACTCCAGGTGTACATTACAGTGAAGCCAAATACTGGTACTGAGAGGCAGTGGCACTGCACATCTTTGAAAGCATTGGTGCTTGCTACATGCCTGCTGCATTCCCAAAGAGAGGTACGGTGGCACTGGGCAGTTACTCTTCCCAATATTGGAGAGACAGAGCAGTCATCCGCTGTAGCTGCTGCTTTTCTGGAGTTGACCCTGTGTTAGTGGGAGCTCACCAGCATTTTCCGTAGGGCCCTCCTGCCCAACACATGTACCTTCAGTCCCTTTGCAAACCAGGTGCTGCCTCTCTAAAGGCTGCAGGGTCTCAGTTTTGGTTTGTCTGCTGTGGGCCGCTTAGCTGAAGACTACCACAGCTCAGCAGGACTGGCCCACGAAAGCTGCCAGAAAGCCAAATGCCACCTCCCAAGATGCTTGGTGAGCAGACTGCCTGGAGGAGCCCCTGCTTCTGACTGCCTGGATCTCTCCCTTCAGACAGCCCTGCATGAGAGCCACTAGATCTGCTGAGAGCTGTGGTAGCTCTCACCCAGTGCATGGAGAAACTCCTCAGTCAAATCATGCCTGTGACCTTTTCTTCGGGGTTTTGATACCACTTTCTCAAAGCTGTGCGGGTAGTTCAGCAAACTCCAGCAAGACTTCTTTTTGACTGACTTGGTGCCTTGCAGAGAGGAGTCTCATCTCTGCGGGTCCTGTTCTCTCAGTAATCAGTCTGGGAGTCTAGGCCAGGCAGACGGGTTGTTCTCTCTGCTTTGCCTGCCCCTTGGCTTGTGTCTGGGAATGTGATGGAGCCTCACCGCTCCTGGTATTTTTCAATAGTAACAGTTACTTGCTGGCCAACTAACTCAGAGTTACTGATCTGGAGACCAACTAACCTGCATCATTGGGGAGGCAGCAGATTAGATCTGAGTAGGAGGAGCTGCACCAGCTCATTTGAAGACTTTTCTGACCCTGTTACAGTGTGAAGACAAAGCAGCTTCATTAAAAACAAACAAATAAAAAACTGGAACTGAGATTCTCAGCTCTGTGAAAGGTCTCAGTTGTGCTTGGCAGGTGACTGTCAATAACTCTGAGTGCGGTGGAAATGTTTCCCATTCCTTTGTAGCTATTTGAACTCCTGTGAATGGTGCGTTATTTTGCATATTATAAGTTGCTTGGTGTATAAGAAGTATGGTGTAATTTGATTTGTATGTACATATGCCTTTTCAAAGTAACTTCAGCCACAAATGTTTACTTCATTAGGTTAAATTACTATGAACTGAGAAGTGTAGATATTGCCTAGCTTTCAATAATCTCTTTGCATTTGGTTAACGTACAGTGATAATTTTATTCAGCCTAAGTGAAATATATAGCAGGGTATTTAATGCACTTGTGTAGCAGGATCTTTATGTAACATAGCCATAATGCTGGGTTTCAAAATCACCCATCCATTTGTGTATAAGAGTACTGAATCTCACTGTTTGGTTCATTGTTTTTTGGTTTTTTTTCCCCTGCTTCTTGCTGCTCTAGGATTTTGGCATCATGTTTACACATCACATTGTAACAGTCACCCTGATAACCTTCTCATATGTAACCAATTTGACACGAGTGGGAACCTTGACCTTATGTCTCCATGATGCGGCTGATGTTGTCCTAGAGGTGAGATAATACATATATCATCAGTGTCTGTACGTGGTATTCACTATTCTGAGAGCTAGCATGTCAATAGGTAGAATCTATTTGCTATGCAAAACAAGTATTTCTTAAGCAAAGAGGCCAGCTCAAGATGGTAATGCTGATTAATATAGTGTATTTCCTTGCTGAAGTATATGACACTTGTAGCAGTGTATGTTTGTGACTTCAGGCTGTTTTATCCCTTGCTAAGTTGCTTGTGCAGAGCAGAATCTTGGTAATGCATTGCATGCCAGGGAGGGTTACACACAGATTTTAATTACAACATGCTAAAGTCAAAAGCTCAAAGTTGTAAAATCTGGAAAGTGATGACTGTGTGGGATAAAACCTCCTGGTTCTTGACCCTTCTGAAGTGTGGGTCAAGAACCCTGTGTCCGAAAGAATCAAGGTGTCACAGTTTGATTCTGCTGTGCTTTGCTGGGCAGAGGGTGCTCGACAACTTAGTGGCTGTTCTGTGCATGGGCAGTGAGCTGACCTCTGGTCCCCAGGATTTTCCAGGTTCCTGTGCCTCCACATCCAGATGCCAGTATTAAACAGTTGGCTTTAGAGAAGAAGGGATGATAGAAATTCTTTTAAGTCAAGATGGTCTATAACTTCCATAGCGGCAATTTAGAGATGTTGTCATCCTGTATCTGCATCGGTTTTTAGACAGCTGTGGGTGGTGCGGGGATCAGGCTGTCTGTGAACTCTCCATCAAGATCAAACCAAAGTTAGTAACTATCTCGTATGAAATTATTTTTTGCTAGAGTAGTTGCAGGGATCCTGTTATGCAAGAATATGTGGTCACCTATTGCAGAATCAAAATCTTGCCATTCTGATCAATAGTGCTGTAAACTTGTTTTTATTTTTTAATCTTTTTTTAATCTAGAAGGTACATGACTGCCTGAGATAGAAAGCAACAGAGAATCTGGATTTCTCCTGTTAGAAATAATTACATCTTTACAAGTTTATTTTTCTGTTTTAGCAATGTGTGTAGATCCATTCTGCTAGCTGTGGGTTCACCCAAACTTTCTTCATTCCTCTTTTCTTACCACCAGACAGATGTAGTTGACAGTGTTCATTCCAGATCAAACCAGTGCCTGTGGAACTATAAAACCACTGGAGAGCAGCTGTTATAGGCTAGCTAAAACCTTACCTTAAACACAGTGAGAAACATGTTTTTTCTCAATTCCTCTGTTCATTCACTGGCTAAGACAAAGAGAAATTGCTGGTATTCTCACGTGATTTGCAAATATTCAGCAAATATACTTCCCCATACTTTAGCGGTCCTTCTAGTCAATGACTGGAAATACTAAAGCCAGTCTAAAGTGTAAGGAAGAGAATCACAACTCCTGAGAAGCATTTACTAGGAGGGCCATTACGACTCACTCAACAGGCTTTCTTCTGCTAGGGCAGTGGGTCACAGCCCCGGTGCTGTAAGAGAGAAGATGGACTCCTACACGCTGCTGACATTACTGAGGGGGAAGTCAGTGCAGAGGAAGAAAATTACCAAACTGCAGAAGAAGCTGGTGAAATACCTTGCCATGATGGGTCAGTTGTGCACCTGACCTGTTTTATATATTACATATTTGTAAAAATTAAAAGCTATTTCCAGAGGCCACTAGATTCTTTCCACCTACCATTTCATAATGAAACATGTCCAGTGGAAAGCTGGAATGCAACATTTTTGCTATTTTCATTGCAGAAATGAATTGGTAGGAATACCAGAGGTGAAGTTTTTTCCATAGGTCTTAAGGCATCTGCAGGTACAGAAGAGTCATAGCAGGTTTTTCAGAAATACATGGCTGTTCTCTTAGGTCTCAGTGGAAGTTATCTTGGATACTCAAAGCAGCCTAGCCACGGCAGGACAGACCAAATGTAGAGTCATTTGCTTGCCTAGGAAGCCATTGCATTAGTTTAAGCTGGAATCTCTACTGAGAGGCAACTTTCAGAATCCCAGATAAGTTGTTTAAGGGGTCTTGGGTATCATTGCACTGCAGTACAACTTGTGGATTGGAAACACTGTAACCTAACCTGCTGAAGCACTTAAAATCCCACCTATTTGGGGACCTTGAGACTTTTCAGCTTCAATTAATGAACACTCTGACAATTTTGATGCCAGTGTATGGATGTGAGTCGTTGCCAATTTGGTATGCTTCTGGTGTATGAGCCCCACATAGCTGACAGTTCAACCTGAATCCTTTCTGTCAGGTTCCAGCTATCTCCTAACACACTTTTCTAAAAGAGCAGGGAATGGACACTTCAGACCAAGGCAAATAGCTGCGCTGTAAAATAAATGGATTTAAATAGACTAGTAAGAGTATCTGGAAGACCTGTGTTATTCAGTTGTAGTCATGGTTTTTAAGCTTTGAAAATTGTGTTGTATTGTCTTAGGTGGCCCAATTCCATCCAATAACACACTC